AGTTAAATATGGCTTTAAGTCAATTATTCCACAGAAAATTGTGATTTGAGTGGAGGAATAAAGCTTACGTGGGCCGTAAACTATGGTTGGCACTTCTACAGGAGCTGGGACAGAAACAGTTGGCAAGACTTCGGTATGCACAAATGCTACAGAAAAAGAAGATTTTTCATTCAAGTAAATTGATCAATGGTTTTCATTGTGTAAGAAGGTATTTTTGGTGGTAAGTATTGACAAATATACTTACGTGCAGGCACAATTGGAGCCTCATGGACGATTGCTACAGATAAAAGTATAATAATTTTAGTTCAAGAGTAAACATATAATTCTAGTCCATTTAGATTAATTTGAATGAAAAAATGCTTACGCGGACCGTAGGTATCAGCCGGAATATGGCCAATTGGCAAAGGTTCAGGTACGATTACTTGGAATGGAGGCAACTCAGGAAGGAATTGAGTAGCCGGTACTATGGCTGACGCAACTGTTATAAAGTTCATTTTAATTAGTTTTTATGCTTTGGTTCAGATTTGGCTACATGAAAACTTTACATGTTCTAGTCTCGTAGTTATTTCAAAAGATTAATGATGAATCAAACTTTGCAAGTGCAACTGAATCTCCAATGAACATGTCTCAGTATGAATTTCATGTACTTGTTTTCGATTTGAATTCCATTATTTTAAATTGAAAGTAAACGCTTACAAAAAAGAGAGAGGCTAGTGGTAGCGACTTACATGGTGAGATTGGAACGGGCACCTCTGGAACCGCTGGTATTCCGTATTGTTGGAACGGGACTAGAGGTTCTGCATTGGTGCAGAGAACGATTGCAACGAATACAACGAACAGCTTCTATTTTTTTTAATCGAAAATCACACAAAGCATTAGTACACTTCATCACAAATTGAAAATGAACAAACCGTTTTCTTACCATTTTTCCACACAAAAGTAAATCAAACTGCACAACTGAACAATTGCCAATAGAAATAAAATCGATATTGATGATGATTGCTGATGGACAATCGAATCGAGTCTGTTGTTTTTCGACACAAACCCATTGTCTTTTATACCTTTTAATCATAACATCAAAACTGATAAACTGAATTTCTGGATGAAATATACAAAACCTGATTCAGATCGGATTGCCATTTGATTTGGTTATGGTTTGTTAAAAATAACGAATTCAGGAATGAATAACGAATTCAGGTGCGTGTGTCATTATGACACTGTCATATAACATCAATGGGTAAAAATAACTGCATTTTGCCGTCCAGTTAAGTTTGGTGTTGTAACTGTAAACATGGGAGAAAATGCAAAACCACTCATCATATTACTTTTTGTTTTATTCTTGTTTTCAATACGAATAGTGTTGGCTTCGAACGTTCGGAAATTTTGGCTTGTTCGACCGTTCGGTATTTTTACATTCAAAATACAAAGGAAGCAAATTACATTTTAATTTCTATGGGCAAGACTTAAAGTAGAGTGTTTCACTGACTTTGTCATGAAAGCGGAAACTTCTTTTGAATTCGAAATGGTCAAAATCAGTGTTGCAAATCAGTAGACATCAATATACTATACCAGCGGTATATACCGAAGTATACTTATATACATAATATGAAGAAGAGCCTTTTGCAATTAAAACAAATGATGCAAAGTAATTAAAAATGTTTGAAATGTCAAATATTAACAAGTTTGACAGTTTTTAGTTTTTTGAGATTTTTTTACTATGTGTTTATTGATTCTAAAGGCATGGTATATTATTTGTTGTATATACCAGTATATACCGTCACAGTATAATATACGGTATATCTCTCAACACTGGTCAAAATCCTTTTTGGCGGTTTAAAAAGATTTTTCATTTTTTTCACGGAACTGATAAGAAATGATAACTTAATGTCTCCGGCAAAGTTGTAGCACTCAAAATCCTCTATAATGCTGTAGATGACTAATTTGTATTTAAGGGTTATCAATTTGGACCAATTTTCATGACATACCTCGGTATCGAATGAATGGGCAGGAATATTTGAAAACAGACAATTGATTTGAATTTTACATTTTATCTACAATTTGTTTTGGACTATGCGTCATTTATTAAACATGGAAAATACGTTTTTTGACCAAGATTTTAGTTTTTCCATTTTGGACCAGTTTTTCAATAGGCGATTACTAAAAAAAAAAATGTAAAAGCACCTTATTATTATACATAAAAACTACAATTGAAAACAACCTTCCCGAAGTCATTTTGGCTCATCTTCCAAGATTTGAATATTCATCTGGTTTTTAAGGTACCATGGTTGACAAATGGAAAATTTTGAATAAATTCCAAAACATGTAATGAATCGTTTTTGTTATGCGATGAAAACATATAAATCGATTCTACACCTTTATTTTAGTCAATTTGCGTCCAGTTCTCTTGAATTCCACTTAAATCCAAAATCTAGAAATTGAGATTCATAAAATTCTTGAGTAAATCTGCTCAAAAATTTCGATGAAATTGCCAAATAAAATCATGAGAAATTCTCTCTCGGATCCTCTCAAAATAGTGACAAATTTACTCTAACATCGGTAGGGTTGTAAGCCAGAACTCTATTTTCCGTTAAACCGTTGAGTAGTCAATTTTGGTAGAAATGATTTTGACCCAAGACCCTTACAGACGCTGCTGCTTTTCCCAACACGTCTGGTAAAACCGACGTAGACATTATTATTTTGGTTATATGCAGAGCGTGTTTTGAGCTGACGTTAGCAACACTAACTAACGTCAACTGCTGATATCAGCTCCTGACGAGTATGCGTTGCGTTATTTAAACGCATTTGCAGTATAAAAACGAAAGGGTAAGCAATCATAACAATGGATCGTTCAATCAATTTTATACTGCAAATGCGTTGAAACAACGCAACGCATACTCGTCAGCAGCTGATTTCAGCAGCTGACGTTAGTTAGTGCTGCTAACGTCAGGTCAAAACACGCTCTGGTTATATGGTTAAAAAAAATGGTGTGTATGTGTGAGTGCAAACGTGCGAACTCCATTCGCATTACATCATTCGGTGGCATTCTTTTCTATTGCTGATTTTCGGCTTGCTTTCTTCTCTTTTTTCTCTCTTTCACTCTAACGTTTGTAATGACATATATAGAATAAATTAATTTGTTGTTTTCATTTTCTAAAACACACCATAAATATGTGTGTATATGTGTTTGTTTCAATCGTATGGCAAGTCTTATTACATTTGTTACAACAACAACAACAAAAAAAGCTCATGGATTCATAGTACAACAAAATTAAATCAAACGGTTGGTTCATTTTCTAAAAATGAGTGAAGATAATAGGAAAAACTGATGTTCTCGCATTATCTGGCTAAAAACCTGTTAAAGTGTTTTCATTTATAATTAGAGTTCACACTAGTATATGGCTTCGAGATATGAATCTCACAATTGACGAAAGGAAAAAACAAATTGATTTTGAATGCTTCATAATTCATTGTTTATTTTGATACAATTTTCATCCCCCGGGTACTAGGGGGATTTCTCACACAAAAAGTTTGAGCAAATGTGCAAAAATTTCTATTATTTCTTCTTTTTTTATTGAAATTGTATGAAAATGTACTGAAATGACGATTTTGCTTGAACAAAAGTGTTCTGGAAGTGGGTTTTGGAGGATCCTCAGGATCGTTCAGAACTGCTCCCGATTCTGGAAGTGGGTTTTGGTGGATCCTCAGGATGGACCAGATCCGGTTTGACATTGCCCTGTCCCATCCTGAAGATCCACTTCCAGAACCAGGAGCAGTTCTGAACGATCCTTGAGATCCACCAAAACTCACTTCCAGAACAATTTCATTGAAGCATAATTCAAAAGTTCAGTGTAAATGTACATTTATTTACACGAATTGACAAAAATTGATCAAATCGAAATGAATTGAATTGAAGAAATTTTTCAAAATTTTTAAGAATTCATTCATTTTTTTCGTGAGAAATCCCCCTAGCTCGGGTAAACCAAATCTTTAAACAAAAAATGTCGTCATCTTCTTCTACTTCCTAAACTTAATTATTAGTTTCAACAAATATAATCTAAAAACTTGAATTTATCCATCCATTTCTTGAGTCCGTTAAATTTAATTCGAATTGATTCATTAGGTCTATTCGACTTTCTGTGCATTGTACTCGAATGGCATTTGAATTTATTTCTTGAAGACTTTGAGAACTTTCAAAACGGGATCACCATAGTGGGTGGCGACTTTGAGTGCTGCTGGATAAGGAGCGTCGACAACTTTTTCTGGAATGGAAACAATTGCTGCAATGGAACAATAAAATGTTTGTGTTAAAAATTGAGCAAAATGTGTGAAGAACAATTAGTTGGATTTAATGAATGAAGAAAACCAGGTTATGATCAATTTTCAATCGGAAACATACATGCGCTATAAACTGGAGCTGGCGCTTCGGGAACAACGACCGTTGGAATGTATGGAGCATCAACAACAGTTGGAAAAACTTCGGTGTGAATGACTTCTGAAATGACCGCTAAAATCAGACGGAGTAAAGGAAGATGCAAATCGTAAAATATCCATATTGAGTCCATATTCATTTCAATTCTACTTACGTTTTGCAACTGGTGAAATTTCTGGCAACACAGGGACGACTGCTGTGGAATTGAATATAAGAATTATTACTCTTTGTGAAACCACAACTGTTAGCTAATGAATTCAGACGTCGTAGTATATTAAAACTTACATGAGGCTCCATAAACTGAAGTTGGCACTTCTGGGATGTATGGAGTGTCGACTACGGCTGCTGAGTATGGACCAGATGAGAGAACTTCGCTATGAACGACTGGCAATTCCGCTGAAATTGAATAAACAATAGGAAAATGAAAATCAAGATCGAATGAATATACTGTAGTGATTTTTAGACGTCATTTAAAGCCAATCATTTCATCTGGCAGTCTGATAACGATCATTTGTAATAAGTGCAAAATGTTGAGATCGAATTGCTAGGTGTAATATTTCCATTGCATTTTATTATTCACTTACGTTTAACGATTGGTGGAAGCTCTGGCAATACAGGTGCTGGTGGTGGAGCAACGTACATATTTTCGTGGACAGGGACGATTGCTGTGAAGTTAAATACGGCTTTTAGTCAATTATCCTACAGAAAATTGTGATTTCAGTAAGAGAATATAGATTCCCTATATTCCCTTAGAGCTTACGTTGGCCATAAACTGGAGATGGGACTTCTGGGATGTAT